ATGATTGCTTGAATTTTCTTGGGGTTGGCCTCAATACCCCTTTGGCTCACCATGTAGCCCAAGAACTTGCCTCCTTGCACACCGAAGGTGCATTTTTTCGGGTTTAGCCAAAGGTTGTATTTTTGCATGATGGCAAAGATCTTCCGGAGGTCGTTAGCATGGCTTGTCGATTGTTTTCTCTTGACGATCATGTCGTCAACGTAGGCTTCCATGGTGCGCCCTAGGACGGCTTGAAAGACCCTGGCCACCATCCGGGTGTAAGTGGCACCTGAGTTCTTCAGGCCGAAGGCCATGACTAGATAGCAAAATATGCCTTCGGGAGTCATGAAGGCTGTTTTCTCAGCGTCTTCCTCGTGCGTGAAGATCTGGTGATATCCACGGAAGGCGTCGAGGAATGACATGATTTTGCATCCCGCCGTTTCGTCCACCAATTGGTCAATGTTTGGAAGCGGGAAATGGTCCATAGGGAACGCCTTATTAAGATCCGTGTAGTTCACGCACATGCGGAAGGTGAGTGGTTTTTGTGCGAGGACCACATTAGCCAGCCATGAGGGGTACTTTACCTCCTTGATGTGTTTGATGGAGAGGAGCATGCTGACCTCCTTCTTCACAAAATTCCTCCTCTCGTCCGAGAGGGGTCTTCTTCTCTGTTGCATAGGTTTGGAGGAAGGGTCCACCGACAGGCGGACCTGCTCGTGTCAACGTAAGTTCTGTGAACGATAGTGTTGTTGATTTCGCTCTGGATGACCAGTGCATCCCTGTGAGGAGAGGAAGCCGGGGGGAGATCAGCGTTGGTGAATATAATCGGCTCCTCCCTCAACCTTTTCACAGGGGGGCATGTGAGTGACTTCCCCCACGTAAAGGGCCTGTGCCCATTTCTTCCTCTGGTTAGTGGAGTCTCCCCCCGTGTTGCCGCCGGTGATCATGTGGATGTGGCGTTTCTTTTCATGGCACTGATTGTACCCCTCTTCTTCATCCAGGTTCTCGATCTCCCTCTTCTTGTTGTTCGGATCTCCGAAGGGAATGGTGTTTGGGTTGACCCAGGCGTTTGCCCTTGCCGGTGGTCCTCTCGGGGGCCCTTGAGGCTGAGGGCCCCTGACAAATTGGGAGAGATGGCCCGCCTGTATAAGCCTCTCGATGGCTGCCTTCAGCTAGTGGCAGTCATCGGTTCTGTGCCCTTGATTACGATGAAAGCGACAGTACGGTTCATTGGAGTTGACGACATATACCTCTAGGGGTGCGCGAGAGTCGCGCTCCACGAGGCCCCTCTCCTCGGTGTAGTCCAGGATGACGCTGATGGGTTGTGTGAGTGGCATCCGAGGGTGTTCAAGGAGGATGAGTTGTGCCCAAGCCTTCAGATTATTCTTGTAACCTCCCCCAATCTTGGCTTGGCCGTGCCGGGGACGGTCACCCAAAGGGGTCGGAACTTTGGAATGATGGAATGGAGCTCCCGGCCCCGGTGGTTCCTGTCATCTTCCCTAGGGCGTTGTTGCTCGGGGTTTTGGTGACATTTTCCCACCTCCTCGGCCTCTGCATACCGGTCTCCCCGCTGGAGGGCCTTTATGTAGTCGCAAGGGGGTTCGATGATGAGGCTCCTTGAAAAGTTCTCGGTGCGGAGGACCGTCCGTAAGAGGGCCAGAAGGGTTCCGTCGTTGGCGCCGTCAACCTTATCTGTCTCCATCCTCCAGCGTTCCAAGAAGTCCCGGAGGGTTTCCTCCTTCCATTGCCTCACCGTTAATAGGTGGCAGAAGTGTTTTCTTGACCGACGCCTCCCCGCAAATTGTGTCAAGAAACGCTGGGTGAGTTCATGCCACGAGTCAATGCTGCCTTCAGGCAATCGATTGAACCATTCATACGACGGTCCTTCTAAGGTGGAAAGGAACCAGCGGCACAAATATTCATCTGATGCCCCCATCATCATCATGTTGTTCTGGTACGTGCTGTAATGCTCCTGGAGATTTGTCTTCCCTTTGTAGGGCTTGATGGGTTGCCCTCGGTAATTTCCCGAAATCTGGGCCGCCAATACCCTTGGGGTAAATGGCATCCTAGTCCGGAGTTGGATGACAGGTTCCCCAGATTCCTCAGCAAACTTCTTCTGCATTTCGTCCATTTTGGTCAGCATTGCCTCATATTTGGGATCCGCATGAGGGGCGGAACCGGTGGTGTGTGCTCGACGGGCCTCCATATCATCAAGCTGGCACTGGAGGGATGCTATGATTTCGTCCCTGTAATCCTTCGGGAGGGCCTCCGCCCCCTGCGATTGAACACGGGCCGAGTGGGCCTGGTTGATTAGGTGTTTGGCGTCATTGGCGAGAAGTGGTGCCTTCCCTTTGTCCTGAGGGGGACGCCTCTCGTCTGCCCTCGATACGGACCCCCCGCTTTCTTGAGGTCTTTGGGGTGCCTTACCACCGAGGTGGTCTTGGACCGCTCGGCGATCCTGCACCCCTCCGAGCCTCTCGAGGGTGGAGGTTCGAGGCCTCTCTTTGTTCGCGGCGTGCTGGTCCCGGGACTGGACTTCCTGGGATGCGGTGTCTTGGGCCACGATCCCTTCGTTATTCCCTAGCCGAAGGATAGGGTTCACGAAGGGGGGCGGAGGTGGGGGAGGAATGGCGTTATCCCCGACCTGCGGCTGAAGAGGTACCAAAGCGCCGAAATCACTTGGATTCTAGGTGAGTGTCTGGATGAAGGCAGAAAATGCTGATTGCACGTCAATAGTGAGGATCAGAGGGCTCACTTGATTCTCGCTCTGGTCCTTCCTTCGGGTTTCGATGCCAAGGCGGGCGTCGGGAGCATTCTGCTGAAAAGGCGCAGGTCAACAGTAGCCTGTTCCAACTCAGTGACGACCCTGCCCTCGGGAGCCTTGTTAGAGGCTCCGGGGGCATGGACTTCACTGAGGGCCAGGTTGTTGTCTTCAAGGGTCTTGGACTGAGCGCGAGTGGTTCTTCCCATTTTGGTAGGTGTTTTTGAGCTGAAGGGGAGGGCTTCTTACTTGATTGTTCGACCTCTCAATGAGAGCACCAAATGATGGATAGCGTACCCGGGGGGTATCTATCCGGGGGGTTATTGCGAGAATAACTAGAGAGAAGTTAGAGCAAATAAGTAAGAGAGAGTGTGTATATTCAATATGAATTTAGCGTATTCAACTTGTCTTTACAATGTGGGGATGGGCTGCTATTTATAGCAGCAATAAATGCTAGACAGGGGCACGTGTCAAGCATCTGATGGCCGAGGGTCACGTCAATCGGGGTGACACCGGCACTTGCATGTGGCCGCATTAAATGCGGTGGTTGGATGCGACGTTTGTACTTGGTACGGTGATCTAGCGCATGTGGAGAGGAGATTCTGTCAGGGGAGATTCCTTCGGCTGTACCCAGTGTGTCGAAGGCTCTCTGGACCGGGGCCTCCTTATGCCGAGGGTTGTATATGCCGAAGGCTTGGTTTTCAAGCCTTGTCCTGCAGTGACGTTTCTGGGTTCAATCCTATCAACGGTGGCCCTCGGTCATGGGGCTGAAGGCACTCCCTTGCGTATTGTGGGCTGCTTAGAGCTTCATTTTGCTGGGCTTGGCTCATTTGGGCCTGTTGGGCCTGATTGCAGTAGTGGGAGTATGTGGGCCGGGGGGGCTGGGTCATATACTCCATCAAGGGATTTGATTGAAACATTAGTTTGTTGTGAACTACCATTATTGACATTAAGTATACACATGCAGACAATAAGTATACACATAGAGACATTACTTTATTGTGAATTACTATTTTGTCATATGTTTCATAAAAAAGACAGACAATAGAGATAACTAGACAAACATTATTTTTATAGACTTATAAAAAGTATAATCAATTTACTTCCAAAGACAACTTTGAAGACAACTAATTACGTCTCAAAAACTACACACCACAAATTACATACAACTCACAATCAAATGACAAACAACTAAATATGAGTTACGGACATGTATTTTTAAAACAACAGACAACTTCACAACTCTTACGGGCTCCTTTTTTTACCCAGGGGGCGTCGAGGGAGGGGGGTTTGTGGGGCTTGAGGTAAACTGGGCTCAATCTCACTCTATTGAGAATTGAACCTGAGACCTACCACGAGGGAGAGTGAGTCGGTGACCAGCTGAGCTGGACCGCTTTCTCGACAGACTCCTCACAACAACATGACAGACAAGTCATTACAGACAACTCAAAACAAATACAAACAACTAACAAGCAAATGACAAACAATTAAATATCAATTACATACATTTGTTTTTCAAATGACAAACAACTTCACGAGTCTTACTATCAAATACAGACGTTGCACTTACAAGTTGTCTGTCAGACGGAAAACCTTTTTTATTTGTAAAACACACCAAAAAATAAAAAATAAAAACAAAATCAAGAACTAGTGCTACACATCTAGTGCTAAAGAGTCATTTTCATTTCTCTTCTTAGATCATGTTCTCATTTGAACCAAATTAATCGCTTACGAGTAATTATTTAGTTATTTTGTCTGATTGATATCTCGACTAAATTAAAAATACTGAAAATGAGATAATTAGAGCTTATCAAGAATATATTCACCCAAAAGTAAATAAAAAATGGTCGTCTCCCTACGACAAAGGATTTATTCATCCGCCAAGTTCCGTGCGGCAATTTTCCTAGACTTTTGAATCGCCTTTCATCTTCCTTGTTTTGTTTTGACTCTTTTGTTTGAGTTCTACGAAAACTTTTACAAAAAAATCTTACAAAAGGGGTATGTGCCATCATCAAAATATTTAACACATTACATCACTTGTTTGTAAGTTTTTTTGTAAGTGTGTTTGTATTCTACTCCCTCCGTCCCAATTTGATGGTCTCATTTCTTTTGGGCACAAGTTTTAATAAAGTGGTTGAAAAAGTAAAAGTTATGATTGAGATTTGATTATAATAAAGTGAAATGATATGGACCACATCTTTCTTTCCAAAAAGGGAAACAGCACCTCATTTTGGAATACAGCACCTCATTTTGGAATGGAGGTAGTAGCACTTTTCCTTTTGGTCAGTAATGCTAGAACTAGAAGGGCATTCCTTAGACACTCGAAGCAGGGGTGTGTTTTGTATCTACGTTTTGCTTTCTTCTTTCGGGGTGTATTGTACGATTTTAGAATTTTAGAAGTCGAGTCTACGATAGGAGCAAAAGTTGAGAGCTTCTCTTAGGATTTTAGGGAGTTCGATTTGGTCGTCGGATTAATTCCATTAGTTGGAGCTGAAACTTCACAGGTGTGGGTTTTGGAGTTGAAACTTCACCAGGTCTTTTGCGCTAATGACTTGCTCGCTCGTCGGATTTTAGGGAGTTCGATTTGGTGATTTTGCTGCTATCCAGCCAGATTTCATCATTAATTCCATTTCTTACCTCTGTTAGAAATTGGAAGGATGTTTTGAGGCCTGGATTTCAAGCAATCGGGGGAAAAGTTCGCGAATTTACTGTTCATATCGTTTCTGGCTGGATGAAATTGACGATTTTTCTTGTAATCTGAGGGTGGATTGGGGTGCTACGTTCCTGGGCGAACCTCACTCTGGAGCTTGGAGACAGCGGAAGACCAGAAAAAGGAGTGAACCAGATGAGCGTTCACTGTTCGTAGCTGACTTTTTCTGCGTTTTTTGTCCTCCTTCGTTGAAATTACATGGCCAGGAAGAAGATTCAGGGACCTGGGGAATCCTTCACGGCAAGGATTACCAGGTCCAACTTTTCTGGGTTGAAGGATGCAGAGGACGAGTTCCCTGCATTGATGCCCAAAACTGACACAAATGCGCAGACTCCACCGGTGAAACTTACTCGGAAGGAAGCTGCTGCTGCAACTGAGATAAGCAATGATGAATCTGGAACTAACTCGAGCAAACATGCTGCCACAGGTGTGGGTTTTGGAGCTGAAATGGGTCATCCGAAAACAGTCTCTCAGTCTCTCAGTTCTTTTTTAATACAGGGATAAGACTGCGTACATACGACCCCCTTACCCCGCCGTAGGTGGGAGTCTTTGCGGCATAAATGAAAATGAAAAATGAAAATGAAATGCAAATCATATGGACACAACTCATTTATTTACAAACTTTTGGGATGGAAAAAGATTGAAAAGGAAGTGAGAATGGATGGTGTGAAGAAGGGTGGAAAAGTTGGGGTTGAGGTAGCTTCTCTTGAGACTGTGCATTACAAACCGAAGGGGGCTGTTATGGACAACTCACCGCCATCACCTTCTATCCAGGGGGCTCACCCGACCGGGTGTGTACCCTGCCCGACCGGGTCTCACGGGCAGAACACTGCCCAGGGCGCTGGGAAAGCTGCGGACGTTGTCCAGGGGGCTGCCAAGACTGTCCAGGAATCTACCACTATAGTGCAAAAGATCCAGGAGCCTCCAAAGGTTATTCAACCTATCCAAAGCAAGGGAGATAGTTTGGAGGAGGACAATGAGGTCATGGTGGAAGACAATGAGAGGATAGTGACGGATGTTAAAGACTTGCATCAATATGACGTTGTCACCAAATGTGAGGTAATAAAAGGTAACACACTCAAGTTGTTTGTTAAACCATTTAGATTCGTGCATATTAGTGTGATTAGAGTGGATACCTCTCTTCGACTAACGGATGATTTGGATAACAAGGGACTAACATTCACCGCCAAATGTTTTGAAAGACTACCGGGAGTGACTAAGAAAAAAGGGGAGGTTTGCTTTGACTCAAAGTTTACTACCCCTTTCCGAAATTTCTTTGGATGATAATTTAGGGTTGCCTAATGTTTTGTGAGGTTGTTTGTAAACTTGTTTTGTTCCTAACTGTGCTTGGGTTCAAAATATACGGAGTAGTTATTTTGATGTTTCTAATTTTGTGGTATCCTATATATCGGGGTATGCACTTTGTTGTACACATTGACTTGTTATTTTCTTGGGTGTTAGTATACATTTACATTTCATCCAAAAAAAAGAATTTTAGAAGTCCGTGGAATTCCAAAGTCTGGGTGTATTGAATATTGATTTTTAAAAGTCAATAAAAGTTTGGGTGTATTCAATTAAGATTTTAAAAAGTGAATACAAATCTGTCAAAGTTTAGGCGTATTCAATATAGACTTTTAAAAATGAATAAAAGTTTAGGTGTATTGAAAAAATTTATGAAGCCCATGGAATTGGATAATCATTCATATCCGTGGATTTTCAAACCCCTAGTATAAATACTCTTTCTCAGTTTTTTTCTTATCGTCCCCCCTTCAAGATTTCCGCAGACTTGCTAGCAACAGTTTTTCTTCTCTCAACCAAAGCAGCGAATTTCTTCCAAGTTTCCATTCTTCATTGTCTCCTGATTATTGTCTTCTGTCGCCATCTGTTTATACTTGAGATATGGATTATTTCCCATGTGATGAATGTTCCGTAGTATTCCGATTCATCTGTAAAAGTTTTTTATGTGTAACAAATTGGTTTTATGTAAAATCAATCAGAAAATAGCAATAACTTGCTGATCGGTATTTGCGTTCTTGACAATGTTCGGAATCCAAATACGGAGTATATCCCAATTTCCGGGTTGAAGTGGTATTGGTATCATTCCAATATCAGTGTTAGGTTTTGAATTCTCATGAAACCAAACAAAGGATTCTAATGATTCTTTAGAGGATTCGAACATCTTCTTTAGTTTTGTTTGTAGCAGCGGTGACAGTGACCTTATTTCACCTTCCCTTTATAATTGCTATAGTTTGCTATTACCTGTCGTGATGAGTTGATGCATCCACATAGTGAAAATACATTAGTGTACAATAAGTAATTTGTATTGCAAATATTGTAATACTCTCTGTCGAAAAAGAATAAGGTAACAAGCAATTCATGTGACAGCTCAAATTGATATTTTTAAACTTTCTCACAACACTAATCATTAGGTTTGCTTACTAGGTTTGATATTTCTTGACTATTCCTATCCCCATATTATGCAATACTTTGAAACAAACATACTATTTTTACCTCTTTTTACATTTATTAAATTTATTAGTTTGTAGTGGTCTTTTACTGTTTGACACAATCATATAGATGGGAGATTCACAAGGTAATTCCAAACGGAAGGATTATAAGACTTGGACTATAGAAGAAAGCAACACTTTGCTTGAAGTTATGGTTGAAGGTGCCAAACTTGGATGGCGTGATGTTAATGGCGTTATAAGCAAACAAATGGTAGAGACTAGACTTCTTCCTCTGCGTTGCTGCACCCACCTCTCCTCAACTCCGCCGGAAGCTTTTACGCGGCTAGAAGCTTCCAGGACACAGGCTAAGCCCCAACTCCGCCAGAATCAACCACAGAACCGACCTCTGCGCCGCTGCACCCACCTCTCCTCAACTCCGCGCCGCTACATCCATCTCTCCTCCAACCCTACGCCTCTCTCATGGATAACATCAAAAGAACATTCGAGATTTAGGGTGCCCCACCCCCTTTATCGTATTATGTTGGACGGTCACCTCAGATATTTCCCACATAGGCCCATTCATGGGCTAAGTGGGCCGGCCAATCCCCCCTCCCCCTTTTTAATTTTTCCCTCTTTTGTAAATCCTCAATCTTATTTTAATAAATAAGGTAAGTGTTCCCCGACGCTTACCCCGTCAATCGTGACGGCTTTCGGGATTAAAAAAAAAAGACTAGACTTCTTCATATGCTTAAGGAAAAACTTGGTCATGAAATAGCTTATAACCACTGCCAAAGCAGAGTAAAATGGTTCAAAAAACAATATTCTAATTACGCTCAACTTATGCATCATAATTCTGGCTTTGGATGGGATCCAATAACAAAGAAATTCATGGCAGCTGATGAAGTGTGGTCTGACTATCTGAAGGTTAGCTGACTTTTTTGCTTCATATCACTTTAGAAGTTCTTAAATGAATATGATCGTTATCACAATAATGTCGTTTTACTGTATCGGTCAAATCCATCACATGGACACCTTCGAACAGAAACATTTTCAGACTACGAACACTTGAGAGTCGCGGTGGGAAATGGAACATCATCGGGAATGGGCTTGATTGCTTTAGGTGAAACTATAGAGGCTACAACACTGGGAGCACAAGAGGATGAAATTGGTGGCATAGACGAACTATGTTTTGACCCAGATACCAACACTTTCATACAAAGTGAAAGTATGTCATCGCCCCAACAAACCTCCCCACTCTACTCACGACATCCAGATCAACGTACAAATATAGGGAATCCATCTTCATCAAATAAAGCACATGGAAAGAGGACTAGGACTGATTTGGAAGGTACTAATACCATCGTAAAGGGAGGTAATAGTCAAGATGCAGTTCTCGAGAACTTATCAAATGGATTTGGAAAAATTGTTCAAAGCTTTGATAAAATTTGTTATTTAATGGAGAAGAGGGAATCAAGGGACACTGATCTTTTGGATGCTATGAAGGAGACTCCTGGATTAACAGACGAGGATTGCTTTAACGCTCTTGATTTGCTGAATACGAAAGCAAAGCAGGATTTGTTTCTAAGGATGACTCCTGAACAACGTTATCAATGGATCATTTGTCTAGATTAGATGAATCTCCACCAGAGATATCCAATAATAAATAGGTCATATTTGAGTTTTTACTTTATCTATTGTTGGAGTGATTTAGTTTTATATGGATTGCAACATGATATGGTGTGTTTGACTTGTTTTTACAGATTATCCTTTAGATTTTTTGTTTTATGGATTATCCTTTAGAATTTTTTATTTACAATTTATCATATTTTACTTTTCAAATTAAGTGCCTTTTTTCTTATATTAGCAATGTGTGAAACAGATTTATATGGAGCAGATGAAGACGAGGTTGAGTTTTATGAGGCTCTTAAGATATTGCTAATCGCAATAGAAGCAGTAACTTACATGATATATAATCTCATTTCAAGAATCAATGATGAACCTATTAGACGCCCATTGACTCGCCGACCTGTGATGGCTAACGGGATTAAATATACGGATGAAATAATGGCCGATGACCCTAAACCATTTAGAGATGTGTACTGAATGTATCCTGACATTTTTCAAAGATTATGTTGTATCCTAAAAAATAAAACACCTCTAGAAGATACACGATATATTTGTGTTTAAAAAATGGTTGCAACATTTTTACTTATCGTCGGCCAAAACAACCGCTATAGTCAACCAAGGATGATATTTAAGCGGTCACACTTCACTATTAGCAGAAGCTTCAACAAAGTATTGAAAGCATTGAATACAATAGCCCCAGAAGTTATGGCCAAACCGGAATCTGTACCACATGTCATCAGAGAGAGTACAAGATTTCATCCTCACTTTAAGGTGAGTAATGCAACATTCAATTGATGATTAATAGTTTAATTTTACATGATTAAGGACAATTAATTAATTTTTTTGGTATACTTTCTTTTCCTAATGTTAGGATTGCATCGGAGCAATAGATGACACTCACATTCCCGCAACAGTAGCTGGACGAGAAGTGAATAGCTATCGAAATCGTCATGGGACTATATCTCAAAATGTATTAGCTGCTTGCAACTTTGATTTACAATTCATATATGTGCTTAGCGGTTGGGAAGGTTCTGGCCATGATTCAAAAGTGTTAAATGATGCAATTTCAAGGCCAAATGGCCTTAAAGTGCCACCAGGTAAACTTTAACATGTTTATACTTTGTATAAATCTGTGATTACCGATTACTTATTGCACAATATAATTGTATAATGATTTAATGCCCAGGTAAATATTATTTGGAGGACTGTGAATTTCCAAAGCGGCGTCAATTTTTAGCTCCTTTTCGATGTACACGATATCATCTTAAGGATTTTGGTGGCGAAGGAAATCACCCAGTCAATGCTGTTGAGCTATTCAATATTCGTCATGCTTCTTTAGGGAATGTGATTGAACAAATATTTGGAATATTCAAGTCATGATTCACAATCTTCAAAACAGCACCTCCATTCTCTTATAAAACACAAGCAAAACTAGTTTTGGTATGTGCAGTACATAATTTTCTTCGACGTGAATGTCGATCTGATTAGTTTCCTCCAGATCCAGAAGAAGACCCACCTAGCGACAATGAGGATAATTTTGAATGGGATGATTTTCAGATACAAGATCAATAGAGGGCAAAAGCCAATGAATGGAGAATGAATCTTGCTACTCAAATGTGAGCGGTTGCAGAAAATGAAGAAATTTTGATCCATAGTTCAATAGCACGGGACATTTGTTTCAATTTTGAGCATTGGGTGACATTTTTTTATGTTGTTTAATGCTTATACTTGAATATTTTATTTGTCATATTTTTTAGAGATCATTGGCTATTATATTTGTCATATTTTTTATTTGCCTTCAAAGTGAAAGTCTATGGATTTGTTGAAATCCATAGAAGTCATTCATATAAAAGTCATTCATTTGAAAAGTCTACGGATTAGAAGTCAATGAATTTAAAAGTCCACGGATTAAAAGTCCATGAATTTAAAAGTCCGTGGACTTTTTTAGAAATCCACGGATTAAAAAATATCCACCACATTCCATATACAATACATCCCACTTTGGAGGTGTATTGTACCTGGAATTAGTGGTAGAATTTTAGAAGTCCGTGGAATTCCAAAGTCTGGGTATAATGAATATTGATTTTTAAAAGTCAATAAAAGTTTGGGTGTATTCAATTAAGATTTTAAAAAGTGAATACAAATCCGCCAAAGTTTAGGCATATTCAATATAGACTTTTAAAAATGAATAAAAGTTTAGGTGTATTGAAAAAACTTATGAAGCCCATGAAATTGGATAATCATTCATATCCGTGGATTTTCAAACCCCTAGTATAAATATCGTCCCCTTCAAGATTTCCGCAGACTTGCTAGCGGCAGTTTTTCTTCTCTCAACCAAAGCAGCGAATTTCTTCCGTTTCCATTCTTCCCCGTCTCCTGATTATTGTCTTCTGTCGCCATCTGTTTATACTTGAGATATGGATTATTTCCCATGTGATGAATGTTCCGTTGTATTCTGATTCATCTGTAAAAGTTTTTTCTGTGTAACAAATTGGTTTTATGTAAAACCAATCAGAAAATAGCAATAACTTGCTGATCGGTATTTATGTTCTTGACAATGTCCAGAATCCAAATACGGAGTATATCCCAATTTCCGGGTTGAAGTGGTATTGGTATCATTCCAATATCAGTGTTAGGTTTTGAATTCTCGTGAAACCGGACAGAGGATTCTAATGATCCTTCAGAGGATTCAAACATCTTCTTTAGTTTTGTTTGTAGCAGCGGTGACATGGACCTTATTTCACCTTCCCTTTATAATTGCTATAGTTTGCTATTGCCTGTCGTGATGAGTTGATGCATCCACGTAGTGAAAATACATTAGTGTACAATAAGTAATTTGTATTGCAAATATTGTAATACTCTCTGTCGAAAAAGAATAAGGTAACAAGCAATTCATGTGACAGCTCAAATTGATATTTTTAAACTTTCTCACAACACTAATCATTAGGTTTGCTTACTAGGTTTGATATTTCTTGACTATTCCTATCCCCATATTATGCAATACTTTGAAACAAACATACTATTTTTACCTCTTTTTACATTTATTAAATTTATTAGTTTGTAGTGGTCTTTTACTGTTTGACACAATCATATAGATGGGAGATTCACAAGGTAATTCCAAACGGAAGGATTATAAGACTTGGACTATAGAAGAAAGCAACACTTTGCTTGAAGTTATGGTTGAAGGTGCCAAACTTGGATGGCGTGATGTTAATGGCGTTATAAGCAAACAAATGGTAGAGACTAGACTTCTTCCTCTGCGTTGCTGCACCCACCTCTCCTCAACTCCGCCGGAAGCTTTTACGCGGCTAGAAGCTTCCAGGACACAGGCTAAGCCCCAACTCCGCCAGAATCAACCACAGAACCGACCTCTGCGCCGCTGCACCCACCTCTCCTCAACTCCGCGCCGCTACATCCATCTCTCCTCCAACCCTACGCCTCTCTCATGGATAACATCAAAAGAACATTCGAGATTTAGGGTGCCCCACCCCCTTTATCGTATTATGTTGGACGGTCACCTCAGATATTTCCCACATAGGCCCATTCATGGGCTAAGTGGGCCGGCCAATCCCCCCTCCCCCTTTTTAATTTTTCCCTCTTTTGTAAATCCTCAATCTTATTTTAATAAATAAGGTAAGTGTTCCCCGACGCTTACCCCGTCAATCGTGACGGCTTTCGGGATTTAAAAAAAAAGACTAGACTTCTTCATATGCTTAAGGAAAAACTTGGTCATGAAATAGCTTATAACCACTGCCAAAGCAGAGTAAAATGGTTCAAAAAACAATATTCTAATTACGCTCAACTTATGCATCATAATTCTGGCTTTGGATGGGATCCAATAACAAAGAAATTCATGGCAGCTGATGAAGTGTGGTCTGACTATCTGAAGGTTAGCTGACTTTTTTGCTTCATATCACTTTAGAAGTTCTTAAATGAATATGATCGTTATCACAATAATGTCGTTTTACTGTATCGGTCAAATCCATCACATGGACACCTTCGAACAGAAACATTTTCAG